AAAGAAAGAAAGAAAGAAAGAAAGAAAAAGAAAAAGAAAAGAAAAGGAAAAGGAAAAGAAAGGATTCTAGGTCTAGGCCTTCTGCAAACCCACCTTGGCTCCCTGACATGGGAGTCCATGGCCCCTGCCTGCACAGGAGCCCTCAGGAGCCCTGACCAACCTAAGTATCGCAGGGCTCTTCTCTGCCTCTTGGGGAACCTGGGAATGGGATTCCCATTCTCATATCTTCTGTGAGCCCAGATCCTGCCTGTCATGGGAGCTAAGAAGAGGGAAGTCAGGGAGGGCTCCTCAGAGGAGGTGGCCTGAGGGCATGAAGTGGGATGACAAGTCAGGCTGGGGAGAGGATGATCTGGAGAGAGGGGGCCCTGAGCCCCTGACTGGCACTGAGCCAGCTTCCTCAGGGCCACACTGTGATGGCCATGCCCCAGGGAAGCCACATGCAGCACACATAGTGGCCTGGTGAACAGAAACACAGCCCTCCTGAGTAGGCTTCCAAGAAGAATTGTTGCAACTACTGGCCAGGCATGGTGGCTCATGCCTGTAATCCTAGCACTCTGGGAGGCTAAGGCAGGTGAATTGCCTGAGCTCACAGGTTTGAGACCAGCCTGAGCAGGAGCAAGACCCAGTCTCTTAAAAAAAAAACATAGCTGGGTATTGTGGTGGGCGCATATAGTCCCAGCTACTTAGGAAGTTGAGGCAAGAGAATCACTTGAGCCCAAGAGTGAGAGGTTGCTGTGACCTATGACGCCATGACACTCTATTGAGGGCAACAAAACAAAACTCTATCTCAAAAAAAAAAAAAGAAAAAGAAAAAGAATTGTTGCAACTATAGATTTAGCCTCCTCACCATGGCCAGGAACACAGTTGAGGGTGACCAGGATCTCTGAGGGGGGCATGCCCTATGGCAGATATTCATGGCACCCTTGGCCAGCAGTAAGGACAGTCTCTCCATGCCACAGGCAGGAAGATGAGGCTGGGGGCTGCTACAGGACTCCAGAAGGGGAGCTCTATGCTGCTACCTTCTGCCTGGGGCTCCTCCTGAGGCCTGCAGGGGACACAGGCCAGCCCCTTCCCTAGACATGTGACCTTTGACAAGTCCTAGGACCTTTTCAAGCTTCATGAGTCATCTGGTAAATATGACACAGGATCCCTGTGCCATGCTGGGCACAACCTGAGGTCTGTCCCCCAAAGCAGTGAGTCAGTGGAAACAAGTGAGTTTCCAAACCATGTGACCCAAATGACCCATGGTCACCCAGGGATGTTATCCTGGGATAGCTCAACTCTCCCCTTTCCTTCCCCTGACCTTACTCTGGCTCAGAGCCCACCACCCAGGGTAGGCTCTCCCTGCTCCCCAGCCCGAAACTCTTCTTCCTTGGCCCAAGTCCATCTCAAGCCATGTGAACTTGGAGCACCTGGTCTTGGAGAGAAGACTCCTAGGATCTAATCCTGCCTATGCCTGCAAACCTCTGAGCCTCAGTTTCCTCATCTATGAAATGGGAATCGATTGGGTGCTAAGTGGCCCAGCCTAGATCACAGGCACAGCATCCTGGAGAATAACCTGCTGAGCAACTTATTTATGGCTGGCTGTCCTCCACTGATCCTGGACATCTTTGTCCTTTGGTCAGGACAGTGACTCTACTCTCTAAAGAGATACAGGCGACTGGGCGTGATGGCTCACACCTGTAATCCTAGCACTCTGGGAGGATTGCCCTGAGACCAGCCTGAGCTGGAGTGAGCCAGAGTGAGACCTCGTCTCTACCAAAAAAAGCTGGATGTTGTGGCAGGTGCCTGTAGTCCCAGCTACTTGGGAGGCTGAGGGTAAGGGAATTGCTAAAGGAAGAAAAGAAAAAAAAAAACAACTTCAAACTAAGATGATTAAAAGCTAGTTGAAAGCAAAATTAAAAAAAAAATAAAAAATAAAAATAAAGAGATACAGGCACAGATTCATGGGCAGGTCCCACACCCACATGGATGTGACAGCCAAACGTGGTTCAGCATCAGCCACCTACAGAGTCTGCTTGAGACTCCAGAAGCAAGTCCAGCTCATGACCTAGCATTCGAGGCCCTTCCCAGGCACCTCAGCCTCCCCAGGGTAGATGGGCCTCTGTCCAGGTCAGGGGAAGGGAAAGGAAAAGCTCTAACACTCAGAGAGCCCCTGCCTCCCAGAGCCTGCTGTTGTGGGACAGACAGAATGCCGGAGTTCCTCCGGCCTGCACAGGGTATGAGGCTAGGCCTGGTCTGTGTCCTCTGTCTGTTGGACGCTCATCCCTTCTTGAGGTGGTGCATATAGCACAGGGCTGGGCCATGGCTGGGCATGACCACTGTGACCTCTGTCCCTTGGAGTCCCTAAGGCCCTGAGCAGCAGGAAGGTGGCCTGCTTCATCCAGGGTAGCCTGCAGTAAACACTGTGGAGGTTGTGGCTGAAGCCTGCCCACCTGGCTGCTCCCAGACACACAGAGGCCTGAGCCTACCCCCACAGACTCCCACAGGTGCAAGGTTCTGGGAACCTAGGAGGGGCTGGGGTCTGAAGGAGAACCAGGGCCAATGTGTGGTGTCTCTGTGATGGACCCCCGTCCCATGTCCCAGCTGCATGGCAGCATGTAGGTGAGAACTCCAAGCCCAGCCCCTCTTGTCCAAGGAAGCAAAGCTCAGAGAGGTACATATGGGGTCTCAGGTCACAACAAGAGAGGGCCTGACTTCCCACCCAGGCTGGCTGACTACTCATTTACCCCTTTTTACATTAAATTGAAAAAAATCATGAAATTGTTCTTTTTTTTTTTTTTTTTTTTGAGACAGAGTCTAACTCTGTTGCCCTCATCAACCTCAAACTCTTGGCTCAAGGGATCCTCTTGCCTTAGTCTCCCAAGTAGCCGGGACTACAGGCACCTGCCACAACGCCCAGCTAGTGTTTTTTCTATTTTTAGTACAGACAAGGCCTCACTCTTGATCAGGCTGGTGCCTGATTTTACTCTTAAACTCCTGAGTTCAAACAATCCACCCACCTGGGCCTCCCAGAGTGTGAGGATTACAGGTATGAGCTATCCCATGTGCCCCATAAAATTGTTTGTTTGTTTGTTTGTTTTTTGAGACAGAACCCCAAGCTATTGCCCTGGGTAGAGAGCTGTGGTGTCACAGCTCACAGCAACCTCCAACTCCTGAGCTTACGTGATCCTCCTGCCTCTGCCCCTCATTGTTGTTTGACGGGCACTGGCTGGATTCGAACCCGCCAGCTCAGTTATGTGTGGCTGGCACCTGAGCCACTTGGGCCACAGGCACCGAACTACCATAAAATAGTTTTTTTTTTTTTGAGACAGAGCCTCAAGCTGTCCCCCTGGGCAGAGTGCCATGGCATTACAGCTCACAGCAACCTCCAACTCCTCCTGCCTCCGCCTCCCAAGTAGCTGGGACCACAGGCGTCCGCCACAACGCCCGGCTATTTTTTGGTTGCAGCCGTCATTGTTGTTTGGCGAGTCCAGGCTGGGGATTCGAACCCACCACCTTAGGTGTACATGGCTGGCGCCTTAGCCGGTTGAGCTATAGGCGCCGAGCCCATAAAATAGTTTTAAAGAAGGAGAGACTGAAATTTAATAAACACTCATGTGCCTGCCTCCCAGACTGTCTCTATCGGACTCTCGCTGGCACTGTCTTGCCTGGGCTCTGAAAGCAGGTGGGGTAAGGGCGAGGGAGGAGCCGGGCCCCCTGAGTAAAGGTGTCGGTGTTCCCCAGAGGGCCCCAAGGGGGCTGGTAGGGCTGGGTGGGGTAGCGGCTGCAGGCCACTGTTCTCAGGCCAAAATAGCACAAAGGGAAGTGGGCAGTTTTCATATGAACGAGGTTTGCAAAGAGCAGGCTTCGGGGAAGCTCCGGGCCAGGCTGGGTGTGCCGCAGCCTCAGAGCCTCCCGCCCAAACGGGCCCTGGGAGACCATCTTGTGCAATCCTCCAGCCTTGCCCATGCTGTGGCCCAGCGGGGCGGCAGGCAGACAGGGCTTTGAGGTGAAGTGAGGTGGTACCCTAGCTGGAAGTCTTGTCCAATGGACTCTGTTCTAGGCTTTTTTTTTCTTTTTTAAAGGCAGAGTCTCACTCTGTCACCCTAGGTAGAGTACCGTGGTGTCATAACTCACAGCAACCTCAAACTCTTGAGCTTGAGCAATCCTCTCGCCTAAGCCTCCTGAGTAGCTGGGACTATAGGTGCCTGCCACAATGCCTGGCTAGTTTTTCTATTTTTAGTAGAGATGGGGTCTTGCTCTTGCTCCAGTTGGTCTTGAACTCCTGAGCTCAGGTGATCCACCCTAAGTGCTGGGATTACAGGCATGAGTCACCATGCCTAGCCCACTGCTCAGAGGCTGGCTGAAGGGCCTCTTCAAGGGGGCTCTTTGTGTCCAGGTAGCCAGAGGGAGAGAGGGGACAGGGAGGCCCAGGCAGTGATTCCGATAAGGAAGGCAGGGTACCTGGGGGCCTGGCCAACCAGAGCCACCTGTTAACAGAGCCAGGCACAAGAAGTCCCCAGGGCCTGCAGCAGTTGTCCCTTCAGACGCCTGGCAGAGTGGTGGGGTGGGCCAGAGGCTGGGTGGGAATGGAGGGGAGAGCAGCTCCCCCTCCAGCCCACCTGGGGCAGGACCTGGGAACCCCAGCCTGTGGAGTCTCACCCTCTACCCATAGCCCTGTGGAAGGGGTGTTACAGTCCCATTTTATAGGTAAAGAAACCGAGGCTCATGGCCTGGGCAGCTGCTTTCCTGGGCTCTAGCAGTTATTTGCCAGTCTCTGTCAGTGACAGGATCACCCCGGGGCTTCCCAGGGCCGCTCAGGCTGGGCTGGGGGATGTGAGGGTGGGAGAGGCCAGAGCTCCAGAAACAGGCTGCCTCCAGAGTGCCGCAGTGCCGGTGCACCAGGGCAGAAGTGAGGCTGAAGGAGGAGACACCAGGCATCCTGGCCTTCTCCCACTCCTGTTGGGGGGCCATCCTGTTGGGGGTGGAGGCAGCCTTAGGACCCTCCCTTGGGCCAGGCTCCAGGTGCTCCTGGGTAAGGCTTACCTGAAGGTCAAGGGCTCCTCACTGCAGCCACCCCATCCTGAGTCCACACACCTGCCCAAGCCGATGCCAACACCACACACACGAGCGGGCAGCGGGCAGGGTGGCAGGCTTCCTGTCAGCCCTGAATCACCCTCACATCCGCTGCTGTGCCGGACAGATGCAGCTACAAACAGATGGGGCGGGGGGTGGGGGAAGAGAGAGTCAGAGAGAAACAAGCAGAGAGAGAACAGGAAGACGTGGACACATACATGTAAACACAGAAAGTGACACCAAGAGGAAGAGAGACACGCACCATGGGACAGGGAAAAAGAATGAAACTGAGGCGCTCACGCAGACACACGGCAGAGAGAGCAGGAAGGTGCAGACACACACGTGCAGAAATGCACACCTCACTGAGAACACACACAGAGGGAGAGAGTCTAGGACAGAGAGAAAGACAGAGCACGAGAGATACAGGCCAGGAGAGAACAAGAACAAGAGAGACACCGAGGCTCAGCGCCTGTGGCTCAACCGCAGCCACGTACACTAAAGGTGGCAGGTT